AATCCAAGGCTGTCGCTATGTTAAGGCTGTTTTTATGGGTTCTGTTGGTTTTTCCTAAAAACCTGTCGGATAGCAGGTTTAGGATTGTTAAGGGTCGGATTATCGAGTCACGACTGTACTTATGTGTATACGTTTGTCACCATGATGTCCAGATGTGTTTCTTCTGGGGTTTTTTTTGTCATGTTTCAGAATGTTTTCAGTATAATTTCAAATGCATACGGTGTTAATAATAATAATAATAATATTTCTGTTATAAAAGCTCAACGCAGATTGACCACACGCAGCGTAGTGCTTTAGGTCTCTCACATTTCATTTATGGCATGAGGTGATTGTACTAGCGTTACCATGACGACAATAAAATATTTATCTAGATTAAAACTGGCTTATTTCATTCTTATTTTTGTTGATTTTTAATTTTGTTTAATTTTAATTTAATTCTTTGATTTAACTCTTCGCTGTGGAGCAAACCTGGAAGGGGCTACTTGTGGTGACAAACCCACTGTAATAATCAGCAGACAGCAGTTTCCTTCAGCTTTACAGCCGAATGCTGCACCAGTGTTTCTTCACATTTAGATTTTATAGGTTTATCATCAGCATCAGTTTCTGTTTTTAGTAAAAACCAGCTCCTACAAGCTCATTGTACTTCACCTACACGTGCTTTTAACAGCTAATAAACTGCTGGTGGAGACTTTTTTTGGAGTTAGTTGATGATAAAGTTATAAATTAATGGAGCTAACTTCATCAGGTGAGTATAAATAAGCAGCTGTTGTGTCCTTTTAGGGTCATAATGGGTCACAGGCAGGTTTGATCCTGGTGTCACAGCTGTGTTCTGGTTAACTGGACCAGAAGACTGGGTGGGTTACACCAGCACACGTAGACATGCTGCCCGGCGCCCTCGCCCAGGGGTCACGGCATGTTTACGTTAAAGCGCTGCGATAAGGCTGCCATTAGCGGCTGCCATTAGCGGCTGTTTGATGCGTGCATGTGGTCCGCCACGAACCAGGCAGCCGCTCCGCCGGCAAACGTGGCCGCATCGGGACACAAACAGGAAACAGGAGCCGGCGGGTTCTTCAGATCTACAGGAAATGAGAGGTAATTGGTTTGTTGCATCAACAGGAAGAGAAAGCTAATTGGCTTGTTAGCTGGTGCTTTGATTTAGGAGTGGCCGCGCGCTGGATGTGCTGTGGTGCACGAGCAAGACAAGAATCAGGGTCAAGAAGTTTCATACAGGCCACGTAAGATCCAATAAACAAGGACACAAGCGAGCCTAAGACCCATCTGTACCTCAAAACCTACACTTGTGATGGTTTTCTCATTTCTTTCTTCTTCTTGTGTTTACTCCACTAACAGAGGGAACGATTTGCCACACAGCAGCCGAGTGGGAGTTTGTGGTGAAAGCTGGTCTGTACTAAAGTTCACTTCACTTGTTTACTTGACTTGATGGCCACACAGCAGCTGGAACTCACTGCAAACACACATTCAGCTGCTCACATCCAACCCTACATGCATTTAGATTTTTACTCTGTGAATTATTTTACTTCAGTCTGTTTCACTACAGATAGAGCTGCTGTTGCTCCACCAGCTTCACTAATATGTTATTTGGGACCTAAAACTAATATTTTTTGGCCAGATTTAGAAACTTTTATTTGTTTCAGATTTAACAATTTTAAAAATTTCACCCTTTTGTCTTCATGTAGTTCTATACATGAGTCCACGTCACCCTTTTGTTTTGTCAAAATGACAAAAAACTTGATCCGTGGTTTATAAACTTGCCACATGTCAAATTGTACTGACGTCAAAGGCCTCAAAAGTTGGCTAAATCTGAACCTTATGCTACACAAAGACAAAGACCTTACATTTCTGGAGACATGTCCTGTGGTCTGATGGAACTAAACCTGAACTGTTTGGCCTTAATGACCATCGGTACATCTGGAGGAAGCTTGAAGCCTGAGAACACCATCCCAGCTGTGAAGCACAGGAGTGGCAGCATCATGCTGTGGAGGGACTGGTGACCTTCACAACATCGATGGCATCATGAGGAAAGAACATGATGTGGAAATGTTGAAGCAACATCTCCAGACATCAGCAGGAAGTTACAGCTTGACGACAATGACCCTCAGCATAGCGCCAGATTAGCTACAGAGAGGCTTCAGGACAACAGAGTCAGTGTTGTGGAGTCACAAAGCCCTGATCTCCATCCTGGAGAACATCAGTGAAGCAAGGAGACCAACAAACCTGACCCAGTTCCACCAGTTCTGTCAGGAGGAATGGGCCAGAACTCATCAGACTGTTGTGAGAAGCTTGTGGAAGGAAAACGTTTGACCCAAGTCGTACAGTTTAAAGGCAACGCTACCAGATACTGAGGAGATGGATGGAAACTTCTGACTTTGAAGAAAGTCATAAAAACTTCTCTCTCTCATTATTCTGGTGTTTAGCAAATAGAAATAATTCTGGTAATCCTGACTGACCTGAAACAGGAAACTTTTAGTCTGATTTAATGTCAGATAGTGAAAAAAAAGTCCCACCCTTGCACTTTTGTGCCATTTTAAAGGATTTTCCCTACAAACTGTGGCTTCTGTTGGAGCCGTTAAATCTTTTGGATGTGCTGGAAATCATTTTATCTGCGTCTTCACCACATGTCCAGGCTCTGGAGACGTTAAATCCTGAAAATGACTTTCCAGATAAACACATGAAAGTCTTAAAATTCAGCTCAAAATTTTTTTTACAGAAATTAGCTGCGGCTCGATTTTATACAAAATCTGAGACGATGCACCGACGTTTTCCTTGAATTCGGGCCGACCCTGTGAACCCCTCATCGTCCCCGTCAGCGCTACCGAACCCCGTTACCTTCCTCTATATGCTAGAAGAACATGTGAACAGGCAAAGCAGGCTGATGTTAGAACTCATGTTAAAAGCAGCGACGCGTCTCCGCTGCTGCCTGAAACACAAAACCTTCCCGAGCAGCAGAGCTCGTACGTCACTCAGTCACTCCTCGAGAGAACAAACAAACAAAGGGGCAGGTCACGTCTCTAATTGCCTTCTGCTGAGTGCTTTCGCTGACAGACGTTACAGCTCATTTACTATCAGGATGAAGAACGGCGTGAACTCCACGAGTCGACCTGCAGCCGTGAAGGACAGAAATCAGCTGACAGTTGCTTTGAATGTACACGATAGAATTAGCTCGAGGATATTATTTCACCAGCAAATTCCCTTGTTTATATCCTCCTAAACTCCCACAAACACACATGAAGCAGCGTCGCCTCTTTGCCTGTTTCGACGGGTAAATATGAGAAACTTGTTCCATCGGATCCATAACTAAACCAACATGGGGGGGATTTTTTTTGCCCTCATTATACCCTCATTTATCACAATATGTAAAAAAAAAAAAAAAAACCTTCCCCTCGACAGACATCCACTCCTTAAAACACAATCAAATAAGAGAACGGCTCTTATGAAAACACGGCGGGCTGGAGGTGGAGGTTGCCAGATTGGACAAAAACCTGCAGCAGGAATTGAAAGCAGAT